AGAGCCTTCTCGGTGGCTGCTCCGACCCTATGGAACGAACTCCCCATGGAGATTCGTACCCTCACCACCCTTCAGACCTTAAAACCTGGCTGTCCCGACAGGCCTGGGGCTAAAGACTTCAACCCCACCCGAATAGTACGACTGTTGTGTTTTTTGACAATGTATTGTCTTTATGTATATAAGTTGTTTTGTACTTCCCTCCCCCTGAATTGTGAGCTGCCCTGAGTCTCCCCAGGGAAAAGGGCGGCATACAAATAAAGTTAAAATCTAAATCTAAAGAACTGATCAACTGGAAATGCTCCAAATATCAAGATGATAATATTGGACTGTTGATTTCAGGAAACAACTGTAGGCATGCCTGGAAAAAAAGTTCAAACAGCTGCTTCTCATGAGTATTTTGTATAGGAGAGGCCATTCTACATGATATAAGTCAAATTGAGTAATCCTAGAATCATTAATAATAATATCACTTCTTCTAAAAAGCTGAAAACAGCAGATCCAAAATCACTGAAATGGAATAGTTTACAAGCCAATTAATATCTACTGTGGCAACAATATCCACAAATAACCATACCCATCTTAAGAAGAAGGCGTTTTATCTGTCTGTGGAAATATATAATTTGCTTCAGAAATTCAACAAATTATATACTTTTCCCTTCTGGTAATGTTAATCAGGATAGAAAATTCATTTGGTTCAGTGAGAGACAATACATTGAAGCTACACGTATTAAAAAGGATTATGAATTCATTGTATAAGGAAAAAAAGCTCAGTATTGTGAACAACAATTTTAAATATAGTAAATATCAGTCAGTACTAGAATCAAAGTTTTGATACATGTGTTTTATGTGGAATATGCAAAAAGCAACAAATGTTCGTGCATAGTTTTAAAACTCCACTTACAGTCCAGTTATGAAAATAGTTGTCCCTTAACTTCCCTTCCCAACGTATTTTTGTGGCTCTGAAATATTTGCATTGTTCTGTGGCTGGTTGGGCAACAATCCTGTTACCCTAATTAGTTCACTTGCTATCAGAGAAGAAGTATATGCAATTCACTATGGAATTTGGCATCAGTAGAATTGGGTATCATTAAAGAGAGCTTTGCAAGGTAAGGTTATCATAGTTCACTTGGTCACCTCCATTTTTCTCATAATAGTGTAATTGATGAAAAGGACTTCAGCTGCTTCTTTAAAAGATAGGAATTTATGCTTTTCTTGTTGAATTACACTTCCCATTCTGGTATAGAACTACTAATGATGTCATATAGTTTTCATCTAAATATATAAAATATCTGGCAAAAAGTGTAAATTCTGTATACGTAACAAATATAGAAAACAAACAATACTCAGTTGAAGTCTTGCTTTGGACAAATACCAGAAATTTTTATTCTTTTAAACATTCAAAATATGTAACCAATTATGGATTAAATATTAACTCCTTAATTTTAAAAGAACATCTGTGAATGTTCCATGCTTTAAATCAGCATTACTGCTTCAGGAATTATTTTCCTTAGAACTAATGACTTCAATGGAATTAAAGGTAAACTTAGACATAAGATCGCTGGAGGTTTTTTTTGTAATGTTTTATCAATAGTAGATCCTGAAGCTAGTAATTATGGAATGCTGAAAAGGTTATTGAAATTAATCTTGAATTATTAAGGGGCAAGTGTGTGAGAGAGTTATATAGAATATTATATAGAATATAATTTAACACTAAAGTCAATAGCTTTTATGCCATGCTGCTATATGGCTGTGCCATGCTTCATATTTGATTTAGACAGTGAAGCCATATTTCTTTTAGAAACTAATCAGCTAGAATATCCATGAAGTGGAAGATTTAGCAATTCACAATTTAAAAGATGAAGTTCATCAACTAAAATTATAATAAGTTTAAAATAATGGTTGTTTAAATTTCTATCTATAATGAATATCTAGGTACATTACCTATCTATAAAACTAAAATATAGTTTTATCTCTCTTTTAGGATGAAATGGTTTTCCTGGCAGGTTTGAAATCTCTTCTTCCTTGTGCTGTCAGAACTCTAATTCGATCAAATAAACTTAACATTAGCAATACCTCTGGAATGGCAGAAGGTAAATATAAAGGTAGATCAATAAAATCCTTTTGGTGAATCCTTGATATGCATTAAGAAATGATTTATAGTATTTCAACTTATAAACCTGTGTTTCTTAATTTAATCAGTTTTAGTTCAAAAAAGAGATGGACTAGGAATAACATCCAATCCGTGTTATAGACATTTATGCGTGAAATGGAAGATACATATGTGAACCACCAGAGTTTTGAATAGTCTCCCTTTCCCCTGAAGCCAAGGGACAGGAAGAATGGGCATTCTATTCTATTTTGTCCAATTAGTAAATCTAGATAATTTTTAGACAAGACAATGTTTTAGCTGATCTGATCCCTTCAGGAAAATTCGTAATTGACTATGCTCAAAATCATTTCTTATGTATAAATTTAAGACTGTATTTTTTAGAATTATGTTTTATTCACATCCCAGCTTTCTGGCAGAAGGGCAATCAAGCTGTCTCTGTTGTGTAGTCATTTTTTTAATGTTATTTTCTTAACATCCTGTTAATTAATTATTTTCCAAACTTCAGACTAATATGAAATAGGAACATCATAGGCAGGTTTTCCCCCTAAAATGACGTATAAACTGATTGAACAGAAGTCTAATTAATTCATGAATTAATGTAAAGGTTTCCCCAAAAATAGTTTATTAAATTACCAGCATCGTGTAGAAATTCCAAGTCAAGCTGTCTTAATTCTCTATTCTCTAATTCATATAAATTAGCATATTCAATCATTACATTTACGTAGCAAACTAAGCCATTTTATGGTTGTGCTTAGCATGACTTTTGAATGCAAACCAGAGTTTAAATATTGATTAAGGAATGGTAGCTTAATTACCATATGAAACTATAAGTTGTCATTATTATTCAGTATGCCACCCAATCTCTATGGGAATTTTTAAAATATTTTTACATTAAACTTAAAAGAAAAACAGGAAATATTAGGCAGTTTGTACTTTGCAGCTGTTGTGTAATTTTGCACTTGTGCAACTCAATGGAATGAGAGGAAGGGGGAGGATCATCCAGGTGTAACACTAACAACTCATTTTTTGCACTTGGGGCAGTCTATCTTTGCAGTGGCAGATACAGCAAAGCTACTCACAGTTTTCCTGTATCTCCAGATTTTAATGTTCAGTAGAGAGTGAGGCTCATTTTCTAATTAAGAGATATTTATTTATTATCTTGTCTGTATAATTTTATAAATAGCTCAAGGCGACAAACATACCTAATAGTCCTTCCTTCACCTATTTTTCCTACAATAACAATTTTGTGAGATGGATTCGACTGAAATCGAATGACTGGTCCAAAGTCACCCAGCCAACTTTCATACCTAAGGTGCAGGAGTGGGTTCCGGCCAGCTTTACTGCTGGGTCGCTCATGTGTGCGCTTCACACATATGCGCTGTGTGCACATGCACACTTCAATTAAAATTGTCTTGTGCATGCGCATAACTTAAAAACAAGATGCCAGTGCCAACGGTGCCAACCGGGGAACTGTTTTGGGGGGGTGGCAGGCCTGGCTCGCTGCCGGTGCTAGGGACCCAGGCCGCCATACCACTACCAGTTCAGCTGAACCTGTAGACTATAGAACCCACCTCTGCTAAGGTGCGACTAGAACTAATCTTCATTATTACACCAAACTGAATCTGTCTTATTGTTTTGTCAGCACAGAGTTTTTTTGTTTATCCAGCATTTCAACATTATGTTTTATCTATTTCTTACCACACTATTTCAACTTCCTATGAATGGCATCAGGGTGAATGTCTGGAGTGCAGGCTTACTTTGATGTGATATTTTAATATTAAGTTTTGGTTGCAAATACACATTTTTAAAAACACAGAAGGGCTGTTTCATGAAATCTGAAATGAATCTTTTATAGATTTGTAGTTTTGTTCCATATAGTATCAATCTTGTGAACTCTCAAGCTTCCTTTTTCCGATACATATTTAAGATGGACAGTATGTGTTTGTGTGTTTGTCTGTGTGTGTGTGAGAGAGTGTGTATACACACACACACATGCATACACATACACACACATGCATACACATACACACACATACATACACATATATATATAATTATGTATATAGCATGTGTATGTGTGTGTTATGTATGTGTATGCTTTTGAGAGCAGGCAACAGAATTTCAATTTTAATTGAAAAAAGTACAAAAGATGATCTTGCAACTAAATAAATCACTATATCAGAAATATATTTTTCACTTTTATAACTGATTACATCCCAAAAATTATAAATATTTTTATTTGAGTAAATAACATTAGATTAAATTTCTGCCTTTTTATATTTACAGGATTTGTACAGGCAAATGTTATAATTATGCATAAATCTTTTGCTGATGACTTTGAAAAATTTTGTCAAGCAAATGATGGACCACTTCCCTTGCTGTATAGAAGTAAGCCAGGGGAATGGAAGTGTCCTTTCTTGAGCAATAATTCTGATATAAGGTATGTATAGATTCGTCTGTATTGGTAGCTATCAAGAAATATTTTAGCACCGTTTCTCATTTTTGTACATTCTGCAATGAACACTGCAGAAATATCAGTAAAAGGAGTTGTTGTTACTGTAATTGTTATTATATACTTTATTATTAAACATGAAACTCGGTCAACTGAACATTAAAAAATGTATCACAAATACCATTGACTGGTATTAATGGTTGATACAGGTTGCTGCCAGTGTCCTAGGTATCAACCAAGTACTTTCTTAAGATGTACGATGCTCTGAGTAGCATAGTTTTTTGCAGTTCCGCTGGTGTTATTGCAGGAAGCTACAATCTCTTGATGTGTTTTATAAAATTCTTGGACATGGTACCAAGTGCCCGATGACAATGCGTATCACTGTTTTTGTTGTTGTTGTTGTTTCTTTTATTTATTAAACATGAAACTCAATCAACTGAACATTTAAAAATGTGTCACAAATATTGACTGGCACTGATGGTTGATATGGGTTGCTGACAACATCCTAAGGTCTCTTTTTAAAATGTACGATGTTCCGAGTAGTGCAGCTTTTTGTGTCTCAACATCTACATACCTTTTAAACATAAGAACTGATCCTTAAGTTATCATCTAGACGACAAGACAGTGCATCCATTTTACTTAAAAGTATGCCCCATTGAGTTCAGTGACCATTTCTCTGAAAGTAAGTAGATATTTAGTTATAGCCAGAAATCAAGTAGCTAGTCCAATGATGATGCTAATTCATTTTGCAGAAGTGACTGCTTGCAATACAAGAAATATGAGCATGGAATATCCACAGGAATTGTGACAAATCTGAAAGAATATTCTGAACAGTTTAAAGACATGGTGACCTTTTATCTGGGCTGTAGTTTTACATTTGAAAAGGCACTCCAGAAAACTGGCATTCCTGTAAGAAATGTGGAACAGAAATGTAATGTAAGCATGTACAAGGTAAGAACAGACGACAAAATTAAAAAAAAAAAATCTTAAGAAAGTCCAGTTCCCTTTTGGAAAAAGCACCTTTGGGACAGTATCTCCTGGAGATCTGCCATCCAAATATTTATCTGGCTCAAACCTCCATTATCTTTAGACTCAAACAACATCAGCCAAGTACTGTCACCTGCTGGGAATGTTTCTTAAAACACATAATACCACAGGTGTCAAACTCAATCCCATCACGTGACGCATTGTAATGTATCCTGACATTTTTGTCTTTGTGGAGCCGGTGTGGGACATAGCCTGTACATGACGCATTCGGGCTGTGCGCCGCCAGTTTGACACCCCTGCATAATACTATATAAATACTGGCAAATACAATCGAGCTAATAATTAGTATTAGCTCAGAAAGAATGCTGGTAGGCATTCTTAAGTTGCACATAAGTATACAAAATTTTAATGTTCTTTTCTAGTGTCTGGTGAACATAGCAGCCAATTCTTTCGCTCTTTCCATTTTTTATTTCTTTTTTTTTTAGCTGATAACGTCAATATTGTTTTACTCAATTGCTCTCAAATACAGAATTATTTGATTTGTAATATGTTAGGCATCTTTTTTACTTCTCTTGTCTGAATGTGATCACTGCTTATTAAAAAAAAATAGAAAGAGATGCCATTTTAGTTGTAATATGGCAGAAGTATTCCCTCCAATGAACATGAACCAGTCATTTACTCCAACAATAAGATAAATAATAGGGTTTTTTTCTATGCCTTCTAAAGTCCTGGAACCATATGGAGTCTATGGAGTATTGAAATTATGTCCAAATATTTTGAAATATACAAAATGATTAAAACATTACTTTGGAAATTTCAGTTTTGTTTCAAAACATAGTATTTGACTGATATAGTTTCTTTAGCTGTTCACCAGACCTAGCAAATAACCACCAGAGGGCAGCAGATAGATATATAAAAATAATTCTTGGCCGCCATCTGGTGGTCATTTGGATTTTTGTAGCCACAAGTAGGAAGTTTTCATTATTAGTGTTAACCCATTCTTAATTGAAGAAAAATTGCTTTCCTAAAACAAATACATTTTTTTCCTCAAGATCAGCTATTAATTACAGCAGGAAACATAAGGCATTAAATTTGCTCAGCTTCTCTTTTTATTTGATTGACAAGTATTATATTCTGATAGAAACATTACTTTCTTAATGCAATCCTTCAAAATGAATAAGATGACCGGCATGTGATTAACTACACTTGTTTTCATGTTGAGATTAGTTTAATTACAAGGAATATTTTTACCAATAAAATCTGTATTTTCACTTCCCATTATTTTGGGGCAATAATCTTATATTTCATGCTGAACCTCAATTACAGTAATATCTGCCTATTGTTATTTAATTGCAAAATATGTTCTTGAAACAATAATAACTTAATGCCATTAAAAAATAAAACAAATCTAATATGACATTACTAATTTATCTAATGTTTCAATGTTTAGTTACTGTGACTGTGTAATTAAATAGAAAGTTAGCAATAGCAATGACATGAACTTAAATAGAATGCCATATGAATCATAAAGGTGATAATAGATGATATGTGGGTGAAGGCAACTGAACATGCTAGTGATTAATCTTGTGGCCTTTTATCACCTAAATGCATTTATCTCAGAGGTAGGATGCCCTCTACTTGAAAGAAAAGACCTTTGAAGATGTCTTCATTGTTCTTAATGCTTGGATCATTGTTTTAAAACTTTACCAGACTGCTGTTCCTTGCTGTGCTATTGAATGTTTTCACTGTAATCTAATAGTAACTATGAGATATATACCTCAAGATAAACTGAAAGAGTGTGTGCAAATCACCCATCCAATGAAAAAATCACATGGAGCACCAGTTCACATTGGCTCTTCTGGTCAGTATATTTTTTTCTCTGTTTCTATTATCTATAATCCAAAAGCATACATGAGAGAGAAGTAACAGGCCTTAGACTTGTCTGGCTTACTAATGTACCATCTAGCTTTGCACAAGTAAGAGGATTTAAAAGAATTCCACCTTAGATACTACTAGTAATTCCAGGAAGTGCTGGGTAAGAAGCCTCTAGGTAAACTAATATTTTTTACAATTAAACCGCCCAAAGTCATTGGGTCAAGTAGCATATAAAGTTAATGAATTATGGTTGTTCACACAGTCAGCTAGATGTATGTATGTATGTATGTATGTATGTATGTACGTACGTACGTATGTATGCATGCATGCATGTATGTATGTATGTATGTATTCAATATCTATAGCTTAGACTGGATTTATCATTTTTCTTCTATTTTTATTTTATTCAAAAAAGTTAAAATACAAAACACCAAAAACCAGATTTCAATTATTATTGTTATCATTATAATTATTAATATTAATATTATTAAAATGTCACAGGCTTTCAGTGCAGTCTCTTTCTGCCTTGATATTCAGTTTCGCTTATTTTTTTCGAACAGTCATGCCAAAAATTTATTACATGTCACATTTGCTACCTGAACCAGTAATTCCTTTACACAGGTACAGGAATAAATAAACCATTAACTTTTATTTTATGTTCACCTCGTAATAAGACTAAGAAATATCAGTATCCCATGCAACAGTATCCCACTAACATCACTTTCCATGTCACATCCCATGCTTTTCTAGAGAGTTGTCAGATGTTTTACAACATTAAGTCCCAGCCTAATTGGGTTTTCTACATTTCTGCTTGAGTATTAATAAAATTCCAATTTTAGATTTATTAGGAATTAAAGATCTATCCAGTCCAGAATATGGTGATGCAGTACAAGCTAATCCTGGAGATGTACCAGTCTTTTGGGCCTGTGGAGTAACAGGAATAGAAGCCGTCATCAATTGTAGTATGTATTTAGTGGAATTACCAGAACTGCTGCTTTATTACAGAAAACCAGTGATGCTTAAAAGTTGTTGTTTGGTCACTTCTGAGTCTTCATGACTCAATGGACATATATATTTGCAGTAATTGCTTCTTTGGATTTGTATAAGCTCATGCTCATATTGTCTGTGATATTATCAGCCACCTTGTCTTCTATTGGCTTCTTTTACAATTGCTTTTGTTTTTTTTCAAGCTCAAGGTCTTCTGCATGGTTTTCTCATGTGTCTGGATTTTAAAATACAACCTACATAAAAGAACCAACAATTCTGATAATCCATCTTCTGTGGGAGGGGGGGGGGGGTTTGCCCTGAACTTCACCTTGCAGAATTTTTCCCACAAAACTATAATTTCCCATTAATCATCTTTTTTCTGTGTATCCTGCCACGATGAGGGTAAGGCAGGTAGTTACCCAAGAACCACTTAGTTATAGTACTTTTTTTTTAAAAAAAAAAAACTTTTATAAAACCAGAACAGAGTGCAATGGTTGTTTCCTATTATTTTGAAATTCTATTGATCCCAGTCTAAAATTTCTTAATAAAAAATTATGAACATTTTGTTTGAGTTTTTGACTAAACATTATTACTGTGTTTCTATCTTTTAGAAAATAAGCTATTCCAACCAGCTGGTCATCATCTACAAATTTATGAGCATTCCTTATAATTCATCATCCAAATCATTAATGAAATAGTGAAGCGTAGATGAGCCAGGACTTGATATCTCGCCAATGTGATAAGGAACCATTGATGAACACTCTTGGACTAGAATATTGAGCTAGCTGAATGTCTACTTGTTATGCCAACCAGTCCATACAAAGTTACTAATCACCACGTAGTGTATTAAATGCTTTGCTGAAGTACAATACTATTTTAACATCTTTACATTCTACTGAGAAAGTTACATGATACACATGAATAGTATAGCAAGGTATATTGTTGACAAATTCAGGTTGACATTTGATAATTAATTCTTTGTTTTCAAGGTTCTTGTAAATCAGGTCTATCTAGCTGTACCCATCCATCCATCCATGTCTATATGTATGTTTGTATGTCTGTCTATCCATCCATCCATCCATCCATCCATCCATCCATCCATCCATCCATCTATTGCATTTAGTTCTGGAGATTTAAACTAAAGAATCAGGAGTCTGGCAGCATTTTTTCAAATTAACAAAGTTTATTAGAAAATAAGCTAATTCGTGAGCTGCAACATACTGCATCATATGCACAGAGTGGCTAGGATATGTTCAGTTACAGGCTCCTTTACCAGTCCTTCCTCCAACATGATGCCTACCATTATCTGCTGGCAATGTCCCTCCAGATTCCACATAGTATAAAGAGGGAAAACTTTGTGCAAGAGCATTAATGGGGACTCGTTTGATATCAGGACTCAAAGCAAGGACAAAGTATTATCAGATCATTTTAGCCTCCCGGGACACACCATAACAGACCTCAAAATGACTGTTTTGAAAAAGTGGGACTTTAATAGCCTTTTGAATGAGAAATGGCTGAACTCGCATATATCAAAAGATTTCAGGCAATCTCAGAAGGTTTAGACAAAATGAGTTTGTAACATACTGTACAGGTAGTCCTCAACTTACGACCACAGTTGAGCCCAAAATTTATGCTGCTAAATGAAACATTTGTTAAATGAGTTTTGCCCCATTTTAAAACTTTTCTTGCCACAGTTGTTAAGTGAATCACTTAAGTTGTTAAGTTAGTAACACGGTTGTTAAGTGAATCTGGTTTTGCTTCATTGACTTTGCTTGTTAGAAAATTGCAAACGATGATCACATGTCCCCAGGATACTATAACCTCATAAATATGAGTCAGTTGCCAAACATCTGAATTTTGATCATGTGACCATGGGGATGTTGCAATGGTGATAAGTGTGAAAAAGTCATAAATCAATTTTTCCCAGTGCCATTGTAACTTCGAATAGTCACTAAATGAACTGTTGTAAGTCAAGGACTACCTGTAATTGTTCATTGACAAAGTACTTATTATTTTTATCTCATGTAAACTGCATCTGCACGAACAACCTATTTTCAACTGCCTTTTCCTCCCGCTTTCGGTCCCCACCTCACCCCACTTTAAAACTGTATCAGTCTAGACACTCTCTGTATCTGATGAAGTAAGTGGCAGCTCATGAAAATTTACACCTTTTTAATAAAATGTATTAGCTGGAAAAGGTGCTGCCAGCTATAGAGTAGGCAGTAGTAAGATAATAATGCGTTCTTTTTTTCTGGGCACCCATTTTTATATTCTGTTCATTTATTGTATTTTCCTTCATGACCACCTCTTCTTGCACTCCACTTTTTCCATATCCTTTCCCCCAAAGCAGAGGTTGATGACTAGACAAATGTCCAGTATTTTGAGGGCCAGCTATAGTTTCTTAAGAAGACAGTGCATCGTTGTATTTTCAGAGCAAAAGGGATCATCCTTCATTCAAGAATAAATGGACAGAAGGGACAGGCAGAAGGGACATGGAACTAATCTATAGGTGGTTGTACTAACAGCTCTGAGAATAGCAATAGCAATAGCAGTAGACTTATATACCGCTTCATAGGCCTTTCAGGCCTCTCTAAGCGGTTTACAGAGAGTCAGCATATTGCCCCCAACAATCTGGGTCCTCATTTTACCCACCTCGGAAGGATGGAAGGCTGAGTCAACCCTGAGCCGGTGAGATTTGAACCGCTGACCTGCTGATCTAGCAGTAGCCTGCAGTGCTGCATTTAACCACTGCGCCACCTTGGCTCTGAAAATGGGAATTCAGCCCATTTTCTCAAAATTCATGTGCCCAAAACTCCTCCCAGATAGAAAGGCCTTCATTCCTGCTGTACCCTGCTGATTGAGCTTCTCTTTATTTTTTCCAGAAGCTCCACTGGCTTTTACCCATTCACCTGGTTGCATGTTTATCACTGATTTGGAAGTTGAAGATGATGCATCTGGTAATGATAAAGATCTCCCTGAAGTCTACAGTATTTCTCAAGATCCTTTGCATTATAGCGTTGCTTCAACAGCAGCTGTAAAGAAAATTAGAGGCTTAGAAAATATAATAGCAATAGATCCAGGTAAGAGAAAAAAACCACAATCATGTTATGGGTTCTAAAAGGTTTACTACGATAGAAAAAGCGATCTTTGTATAATTTTCCGTGCAACAATCTTATCAAAAGGAAACATTGAATAAAAAATCCTATCTCTAATGCACGCATTTATTTTCAAAATACCCTTTTATGGTTAAATTAGCCATAGGCCATCATTTAAGTTAATACTTCACCTGTAGCTCAACTTTGCAGAGACTTTCTACAGAATATGAATGAATGATTTATCAGATGTTGTATTGAAGAGGTGAAAAAATCAGATGGAAGCCAAAACAAATAACTTTTTTGAGAATAATAGCTACTAAGCTATTAGCATGTTTGGGCAAAAGAAAAATCTGGTATAGCAGCTCTGAGATCTTCTATCTCATTTCCTGATACCGTGAGCCATTTCATCTCTCAGCTTTAAGATTTTTTTATCTATCAGCAATCAAAACAAACTAGTTTTATTTTTAAATGAATTCCTATGACAAACTACTATCCTCAGGATGTTCTTAGTTTAAAATATTTGTATTTTCCATGCTTAGGGAACAGAGGTGTGAAACATCTGTTTTCTTGTGATGAACTTCTGAAGGCATGCCTGTCGCTTTCCCATGCAAAATCAGTGTTGATTACTACAGGATTTCCCACCCATTTCAATTATGAGCCACCTGAAGAAAATGATGGGCCGCCCGGAGCCATTGCAATGGCAGCAATCTTGAAGGCCATGGGAAAAAATGTAGTTCTAGTGACTGATCAAAGAGCTCTCGATTTAAATAGAAAAATTATCAAGGAAGCTGTTGAGCAAGGTATGACATGGCTCATTATAACCTGATTATGCCAAAGGGTGTTTTAGTTTCTTAAAACTTGAAACCGTCCACATTTTCACTTATTACTGTTGACTTATTTTTTATGTTCCTGTTTTAAAATCTAGAATAATTACTTTCAAATGCATGTATTATAACAATACTGCTAGTGTGTGGTAAGAAATTACATTCTTATGCTAGTGTTTTGTAAAAAAAATGTTTAAATATTTTACCAGCATCACAACAGATACCTAGGTAAATCTACTAGGTTTGCTTCACTTATCACTCTAAACCAGGGGTGTCAAGCTCATGTCGTCACAGCGTCATTACGTAATGTATCGGGACTTTTTTCCCCTTTGCTAAACCGGGTGTAGGCAGAGTCAGCACATGATGCATCCAGCTTGCGAGCCGCAAGTTTGACAGCCTTGCTTTAAACTATAATGTGAATTATTTTCTTCATTTATTAAATTTGTAGCCTCCCCTTACCATCAAATGACTCTGAGTGCCTTATGGTAGCACAAAAGCGAACTAATCAATTAAAATCCAAACCTTAAAATATCAAATCTTAAAATTAAAATGGTTAACATTATCAATAAATTTAATAAAGGATCAGTGTGTAAGTGGGGTACAGGTAGGATCTATAGAATAGAATAGAATAATAGAATAGAATAATAGAATAGAATAGAATAACAGAGTTATTGGGCATGGATTTAGGATACATAATTAAGCTTTCTTTTTATGAGTATTCTGTCTACCCGAAGGAAAGGCAACAATTTTTTCCACCAAAATATTTCACTTTAAAATGGGAGGTGGCCTTGTATTGCAGTTAAACATTTCAACCAATATATTGTGGGATTTAATTATTCTGTGCAACTGAATTGGGAATAATCTAATCAAGGTATAAAGACAGAAATAATTTGGTTTTAAGAAAGATTCTTTAAAAATATTTTAATACTCTTCTATTAAAATCAGCAGAATTTCCACATGTTTCAGTCTGACTCAGTCATATCTTTCTTTACACTCATCCTATTTTACAAAGGAGGAGAATGTCTTGAAAATTTCAGCCACAGAACTGATCTTATTTAACATTGGGAAGACAAAACAAATAATTGTGAAACAGCGATCAGGCATGTGCAGATTATTTGGTACAGCACTTTGCTCTTTAGCAACACCTCTCTATGAATCTGCAGACTGTAGGAGGGAAGTAAATGCAGGTGCTTGAAAGCACAGCAGCTCCTGCATGCCTGGAAGAGCCCTATGCACAGGCCTAACAATGGCATGATTAATATCATGATCCAAGTTAGCAATAGCACGTAGGCTTATCATCTAAGCTTACCATCTTACAGTGCTTTATAGCTCTCTCTAAGTGGTTTACAGAGCCAGCATATTTCCCCCAACAATCTAAGTCCTCATTTTACTGACATCGGAAGAGTGGAAGGCTGAGTCAACCCTCAGCCTGGAGAGATTCGATCTGCCAAACTACTGGCAGCTGGTGATCAGCAGAAGTAGCCTGCAGTACTGCACTCTAACCACTGCGGCACCGCAGCTCAAAGTTACCTTTGTCTTTCTCCATATTCTAGAAATACTGCAAACGCCTGTCCCTGTAATCAGCTACCAAAGCAATTCTCAAGATTCAGCTCTGCAGTTTTTATGTGAAGATGGGAATCCAGAAAAACCAAGGTATATGTCCCAAAAAGCAAAGCAATGTCAAACTCTAGAAGGGTCTACGACAATTTGCCGCAGCCAACTCGCCACAGACAACTCATTGTGGGCCAACTCGCCACAGGACAATTTAATGCTGTATTAAATTGTTTCATTCGATTACTTTTATTATTGGTGACCATGTTTTCTCAAAATTATTGTAACTGTTGGATTTCTGGAACTGATTTTATTTTATTATTATTGTCCACAGTTGCGTCAAAATTTAACTTTTGTATTTGTTGAATTGTTGGTGCATTGTCCCACAGCGAGTTGGCCATGGCAAGTTGGTTGTGGTGAGTTGGCCATAATGAGTTGCTCCATTCCAGAGTCTTTAGTGTAGAGTTTGGGAAGAGGACTCAGCTCCTGAGGTCCATATAATATCACAGATGCTAGCTAGATATCATCTGGTTGACTTCAAATACCACAAGGGCTTTAAAGCAACTTTTCTCTAGGAACCTGTCTAACATGTAGCTTTCTCTGGGGAAGATAAGAGACTAGTATATTTCCTCCAAGTACGCTCTTGAAACAGAAAGAAATAAACAGCGGGCATAAAAGACAATGCTAGAGGGGAGAGCATAAAGGACATGTGAGTAGGGTGGAGAGAAAGATAAGGGAAAAAATACTTATCTGCAGGGAAATATTTTATTCAGGTTATAAATCAGATTTCTTCAACCTGCTTAACTCCCAGCTATAGTTGGGGATGAATGGTGCTGTAATCCATGTCAGCTGGGGAGCACCAAACTGTGAAAGGTTGGAGTTAGCCAAATATATTATTATGAAGACTAAAGTAATAGATTGGGGAATCTGGAGCAACTCAAGTACACAGAGTTGAGGAAATTGAATAACAAAGAACTTTTCTCGTGATCCCTGATAGTTTTGTTTTTTACCTTATGGCATGTGTTAACCAGGATCATCAAGGTGGCTGGCTATGAAAGGAATTTTTTTGAGTGGTGTTATCGTGGGAGGCCGGAATGTAGGCAATTGGGGGGGGGGTCTTTCTTGTCCCTACGTGGTTTATTCACTCACGGGAATCAACCCGCCGACTTCAGTAGTGCACAGGCCCAGCATCTTACCATGTGAGCCAGTGCGGCCCCCATCCCTGATAGTAAATGGAGTATATGGGGTTTTGATTTGAGAATCGTAATAGGTAATGCTGAGTACATCAAGCTATCATTAGCATTAGAACTACAGTAAATCTTAATTCTTTTTTAATTCCTCTTCTTTAGATTTAATCATTTGATAGCAATAGAACGTGCTGGGATGGCTGCTGATGGTAATTACTACAACGCAAGGAAAGTTAATATTAAATATTTAGTAGATCCCATTGATGAACTCTTTATAGCTGCACAAACTCTCCCAGGAATTACTACTACAGGTACAGTATATGTATTTTCCTTCAATGGTCTGATACAAGTATTAGTGTTACTATGAACCAGCTGGAGACATTAAGAACAGGGTCTATTATGCAACTGGAATAACTGAGGTGAGGCAAAAGAATTAGTGCTGAAAGTGATCAGCAATATTTAGCTCTCTTAAGGTTTCAAATGTTCACAGTCATGGAGATAGGAATTTCTACGAGGCAATTTCCAATTAATCATTATTTACTGATGCTCTTTAAAATTTTCTAAAATATGTGATGCTTTTTAATTATATTAATATGGCATTTATTCTCACCCTGCTCTTCGTCTGTGTGAAGGCATACCCAAGTCAAAGAGAGAGCAGAGAAATGTACACAGAAGCAACACATGCAGATGTGTTCCTGAAATAAGCTGTAATTGGGCCTGTCCATTATGATTGCATGTCAAGATGGCCGTTAAGCGAAATGGCCTCGCTTAATGATCTCCACTCCTGCTGTCCCTGATGTGGCCATTAAACAACCGCTAGGGTTCTTAAATGGAGCATGTGATGCCTCAGAGTGGGGGAGACCATGGAGGCCTAGCGCAGGCCTAAGCCGGCCGTTCCCAGACCTTCCATGGCCTCCTCCACACACACACATACCTTTAAAAAACCCATGCTCTACTTTCCATCTCTTGGGTCCCCACAGGCCTTTACCCACTCCTACCAGGTGCCCCCAATTCATACACCACCAGGCCAAGCACTTTTCCCCTCAGTTACCTTTTAAAGAACCCCAAGGCCTTCCAGAGCACTGGAACCGATCACTTCATCACACAGACATGTGATGCAATTCTGGAAGCTGCAATGATATATCTATCTATCAGAATGCAATTTTTAGTCAGTCATAAGGGCGAATGACTGCAGGGGTGTTGCAGGAGCTGTAACTTTCAAAACAACGTTGTATGGAGCTTTTGGGAGGTTTGCTGTAACTTCAAGTTGCTGTTAAGTGACCAGTCATATCTTGAAGACTACCTGCATCTGGGAAGAAAGTGGACACATAAATTAAACATGTCAGTGATACTCCTCAAAATAAAGGAAGACTAGGAACACGCACTCAGTTTGGGCTTTGAGGAGAAAATGTGCATACAAATGTGACATTTCAGTATATTGATGCAATAGAAGGCAACTAAAGAAAGGATAAGAAGTGAAAAAGTATGGGTGCTTTGTGGTCAGTTTGGTCCTATACCAACTTCTTAGAAATAAGCCCCACTGATCTTTGCGAGGTTTTTCAGAATAGACACATATAGGTCTATTTTGCTAGACTTTGTAAATAGAAATTAACTATTATAATTGTTACTTTGTAATCCTTAAAGGTAATAGCTGTTATGTTTTGGCAAGTCATGGTACAAATCAACTGCTAATCTGTTCCAACTATACTGATATTGGAGAGTTATTTATCTAAACTTGCAGATGGATAAACATACACAAATGCTGATATTAATAAGTCAGCAGTTTAGAAAACAGTACAAGTTTCCAATATTACTTATTATTTTCATTGTTGCGTCATCCTGGCAAAATTCTTTGTAGCTGTGAAAGCAGATACAAATGTTAATAAGCACAATAAATAAAGCTGGAGTATTTCAGTGGTTACCCAGAGTTCAGCAGTTTTCGTGGGAAGTATTTACAGTAAGTTTGTGAAAGTTCTATAAATAAAAGGTTATTAACAGTTCCACTGATTTTTAATTTTTCATCAGATTTTCTATAAGGATCATTGGTATCAAAATCTATGTCTAGTATGGTAATATTCCAATGTAATTTTTTCCATTTTAATTTAGGTATTGGAGATGGAGGAAATGAATTGGGAATGGGAAAAGTAAAAGAAGCCACAAAGAAGCACATTAAAAATGGAGATGTCATAGCTTGTGATGTGGAAGCTAATTTTGCAGTTGTTGCAGGTAAGATTTGAACAAGCCAAAATATGTACATGTACAAAATCATAAGAAACTAAAACAAAAGCTGTGTTGCTTTTTCTGATTATTGTATTCAGTCATCACCTAGATAACTAAATCACTAAATAAGCTGTTTGTCATCTTTGATACCTGCTATGCTATCAGGGTGACTTTTAACAGCAGTTAAAAACAGAATAGCAAAATAGAATATATAACTGGCAATCAAGATAAGAAAAAAAAATCAAACTAGAATTATCCAAAAGGTGCTTTTTCAAGAGGCAACTGGACTTTCTTGTTTTTCTTTGAAGACCTTTTACTTCAAAGCTGAAGAAGCTTCTTGGATGAGAAGCGAAATGTCTTCAGAGAAAAAGCAGAAAGTCCAGTTGCCTCTTGAAAAAGCACCTTTGGGACAACCATGACCTGGATGACAGAGAATCTCCATAGACATCAAACTAGAATTAAAGTAGTATCTCATGGGCTCCTACTAACAACCTTACGTCCATGCCCAGGAACAGACCCACATTTTCAAGACCCACATTTCAAAACATTGGCAGGGTTGAGGCTAGTCTGTTTCCCCAATTCTCTGCATAATATTTCAAACCACAAGGGCTACAACATAAAAGTGTCTCTTCCGCATACTTCTGTGCCACTATTTTGTTAATTTATTAATTTGTGTAGCTGCCTATCTCAAACCAGTGACTCAGAGCAGTGAGTATTCATACAAACAAAACAGTTAAAACATAGTACAAAAGAGAATTAAATACAAATGGCAGCCAAGAGATATTATAAGCCATTGTTGTCAACATAATCAGGAAACATGGGACCCCAGGTCCTGGCCACATAGCCAGGTCTTCAAGATCATCTGAAAGGCTAGCAGGGTCTGTCATCGTTCTTGCTGATGACCTCTGAGGGGCTTAAAATGGGGGTGGCAAACCTATACTGGCCTTCTATAATCTTCCAGCAGCCTTTAATACCAACCTTTGACTGTGGTATTGTTCTGGATCAATTTCTTGGAAGATCTTGTGGAGACAGTCTTGTGGATTTAATTATGATAAGTATGCTGAGGCTACGCAGACTCCTGGTCTACTCAGGTGATGCCATTAAAGTTCTTTCCCAGTTCCTGGAGGCTATGGAGGACTGGATGGTAAGGCATAGGCTTTAATTTATCTGTAACAAGATTAAGTGACAGTTGGTTTTAGGGACCCTAGAACCTGGAGATTATCCATCTGTGACTAGAGTAGCACAATTTAAATTATTTAAATAAATAAAGTAATAAAATTCTATGCCCTGACTGTTGGTCATGCTGGTTAGAACTAGTACTAAGTGGAGTCCAAGCCATCTCTAATAGGTGCTAAATGATAATCTAAACCAGGTTTTAGAGAGCCAGTGAGTAAGTAAGTAAAATCTTTATTACGGTCAAAGACCAGCAATACACATTAGTTTTTACACTATGTTAAAAAAATACTAAC